TTCCGTGTATAAGATGCTATTTTTTTCTAAAATCGTTAGATTGAAAATCGAGGGGCATCTTATACATGAAGTCAGCCGAGGAGGGAGCCACGTGGGTACGTAGCTGCCCATACCTTGTCAAAGAGTCCTCCTCCAATCACTAGCCTTATTGTTGCTGACAACAGCTGATGCCATAATTGAACGTGGAAAAGAAGAGTGTGCAGATGCAACAGGGACCTGAGTGTTCTGAGCCCATAAAGATGTCAAAAAATAAAAAGACAAGTAACCAGTAAGCAACTGTCTTACTCTGCAAAATTCAAACTGTATATAATCAGCTATGCAAAAGAGCATGAGAAATGGAGCTGCATAGAGACAATTTGGACCTCCTCCCACTGAGTGTATGATCAGACAGTGGAGAAAACAGGAAGAACAACTCCTTAAGATGCCAAAAAAGAAGGCCTTTCGAGGAAAACCAACAAAATGTTTAAAATGTTGATTTCTTAATTTTGGATTGCCAAGGGGGGGGGGGGGTGTCTTATACATGGGGGAATCTTATACACGGAAAAATACGGTATCTCAAATCTCTTGTAGCTGCAAATTCAGAGACAGCCCAGCCAGTGTGGCTTAGTGGTTGAGCATCGACTTATGAACCAGGAGATCACAGTTCAATTTCTGGTCAGGGCATATGCCAGGGTTGCAGGCTCAGTCCCCAGTGTGGGGTGAGCAGGAGGTAGCCAATCACTGATTCTCTCTCATTATTGATGTTTCTAACTCTTCCTTCTGAAATCAAAGGACACTGTGTAATCATAATAATGTACTGTGCCGGCATACAGCTATAGGAAATATAATTACCCATGAGTCCAAGCTACTACACTCTGAAATTCATCACTGTACCTGGACTGCTCTTAGCAAATAACCAAGAGTGACAGGAATACTAAGGCACATATGGGTCTCCTGTGACAGGTGACTTTGGTTTGGGGACTTTCTGATGGTTTTGCTGAACTTAACAGAGGAGGCTCTTAATAATTGTGAGGACACGATGATATATTTCATAGCTATTAGTCTTTCTCCAGCATTCCTAACAATTGCTCAACAGGCCCCTGTAAAGAGTGGTCATGCTGGCAAGGATGGAGGCTTATCACAGGGTCATCAACGTGGACTTCTCCTCACCAAGACTGACCTGAGTGCCTGACCTGCTAACAGCAGAGAGCAGAGACCAACACTCAGCCTTGATATGGGCACTTGGCAGCAAGCTAATTGTATTCTACCCCTTCTATCATGGAATGGGCAGCAATTCACTCTCACTGGAAAAGACACATAACCTGGATAAGGATTGCTTTTAGTACTTTTGCCAACTGTCATGTATCATGTACCAATTGCATCTCATCAGGGATTAGCAAAGGAGTGTGTGCTATTCTGCTTAGAGTGCCATAACAAAATACATAGACTGAGTAAACATTATTTCCTATAGTTTTAGAAGCTGGGAAATCCAAGATCAAGGTATGGCAAAGTAGCTTTCATTCTGAAACCTCTTCTCTTAACTTGTGTTCATATGACCTCCTTTATACTCCAGAGAGACAGCAAGCTCTCTGTTGTCTCTAATGAAGGCACTCATCTCATCCGGCCAGGGTCCCATCCTCATGACCTCATCTAACCCTAATTACCTTCCAAAGGCCCCTCCTCAAAATACCATCTCATTGGGGGTTACGTTTTATCATACGAATTTTAGGGTGGACACATTTATTCCATAACAGAGTGTGGAAACAAATTGTTTCCTGTGTAATTTATTGGTCTTGTCATGTACTTCATCACCCAGAAAAACCTGGTCTTGTTTGAATGATAGATTGGTCTACTTAAGAATCAGACACTTGCTGTTGGGAAAAAAATAACCTAACAGAATAAGGTTCAATCTTGTAGGATGCAATATGTGCTTTGAGTTGGTAACCGACGAGTATGGTTTTGTTTCATTTCCAAGACAGAATGCATTGGTCCAGGAATCAAGTGTTAGATGTGGGAGTGACTTTGACTATTGTATCTAATAACTTAAATAATTTTTGCTTCCCCTTGGTGCAGGTCTGAACTCATGGTTTGGAAATCTTGGTTCACCAGAGGATGTAACAATGGTTCAACTGAATTGGAAGTTGAGATTGTCACTGACCATTCTGGGCATGTGCTGTAATGCCAAGGGGTCTGAAATTGGCCTGGTTAAGGCATGATACATCCTGATGAATGGTGGTGTTTTGTAACCAAGTTTCTAAAGAATTTCAGGGTGGTTTGTACCAGTTTGTTATCATTGTTTATTTTAACAGAGAGGTGATTTATACCTAGAGATCTCCTCTACATCTGCCCCCCCTCAAAACAAAAACAAACTTGGTTGTTGGGGCTGGTTTTTAGGTAACAGATTAACGGGACTGCTATTAAATTTGAGTGAGTTGAGACTTTGTGTCTCCTTATTTGTACAAAGAATAGTTACACCTTACACCCCCCCACAAAGTTATGTTTATTGTATAGAAATTCAAATATGGATAGAAAGGGCTGAATGGATGCTAAAATAGCCAAAGGGGTAGAATGTGCTGGTTAAATTATTGTCTTTCATCTTCAAATCCATCCTTCTATACTTTCTATAATCTGCTTTGAGATGTTGAGATTATAATCCCAATGAGTACCTTTCTCCATCACCTAGATTTCTGTAAGGCTATGCAAATAAGTGATGCAAGAGAGGTAATGTAAATCCAGAGGGAGGGGTAGAGAGGGACTTGCTTCTTCCTCTTCAGCTTCCTATTGCTGTATCATCTCTGCAGTGGCTCTTCACCCTGGCATGAGCATTAGTTTCAGTTGCAGTAGAAACCAATTTTTAAATGTTCAGTTTTCACACTTTGAGAGCCAGCCTCATCATGCCAACATATCAAGCATTATACATACTCATTCAGATTTTTTTTTTTATTAACTTTGGAAATTTTCCCAACTGTTTTTGACATTAGATTACACTAGGAAAAATAAAGACATACTTTGTAACTATATTTTAAAATGAAAGAAGGCATGTATTTATTGACACAAGTATTTTGCTGAATGGTGATAATGTTTAGTTTTGTGTAGACAATATAAATTTACAGTTTTCAAGTGGTAGTCACATTCCATTCCCTTCTAGTTCCCTCCTTCCCCCAAGTTTTCACTATTATAAAATGCTGTGATCACCCACCTCATAAATAAAACTTTGTGGAAGTCCCCGATTCTTTATCCCCATGCGATAAATCCCTAGAGGGAACAATCTTCAAAGAGCTATGAATAATCAATAGAGGAACTAAAATTAGTGTCATAATAATAATAAAAAATTAAGAGTAGCAGGAGAGGAGATGGATGCTTTAGAAATTCAATCCTTACCTATTATCTAGAGCAGTCAATATATAAATTCTAAAGCTGATAAATCAAAACTGGCGTATGTGTTTGGTATAAACATATTTCTTAGCTATATGGGTGGAACCACAGAAAGGTAAAGCAGAAATGGTTAAGGCAACTGGGTGGGAAGGAGATTGAGGCTTTTCTTTTTTTTTCTTTTCTTTTTGTTAATCCTCACCCAAAGATATTTTTCCATCCACTTTTTTAAAGAGTGGAAGGTGGGGGAGAGGAAGAGAGAGACATTGATTGGTTGCCTCCCACACTCCTATTGAACCCGAAACCCAGGTACCTGCCCTTGACTAGGAATCCAACCCAGGACCCTTTGGTGTACAGGCTGACACCACTTAGCAATACTAACCAGGGCCGACTAACCAGGCTTTTCATTATAGGACTTGTTTTTTTCCTGAGCCTTGAGCATCCAGTACTTTGATAAAACACTACAGGTTTGAAATAAAAATGTAAATTTATTTAAATTAAAAATTATTTTGCCAAATTATCATTTAGAAAGAGTACATCAACTTAAGCTCACAGGGCTTTTTGATGACCCTTAATTACTATAATGTCTTCATGTCAATTCATTTATTATTTATACTCTGATCCGTTTAAGTTTTAATCCAGCCCTAACCAGCTTGGCTCAGTGGATAGAGTGTCGGTCTACAGAATCAAGGGTCCCAGGTTCGATTCTGGTTAAGGACATGTACCTTGGTTGTGGGCACATCCCCAGTAGGAAGTGTGCAAGAGGCAGGTGAATCTATGTTTCGCTCTCATTGACGCTTCTAACTCTCTATCCTTCTCCTTTCCTCTCTGTTTAAAAAAAAAAAAATCAATAAAATATATATTTTTAAAAAGTTTTAAACTATGTTAGAAAAATATACGAAAATATAAAACAAAAGAGAAAACTGGGATAAAGGAAAAATAAGTGTAAAAGAAATAAGATGAGGCCAGGCGACCAATTCCATCACAGAATATCTGGGAAGCTGGTTAAGAATGAGGATCCTTGCTTATATCCCAAACCTGCTAAATCAGAATCTCTAGCGTAAGGCTTTGGAATTGCCTTTTTAGCAGCCTCCTTGACTTGGAGTCCTGATGTAATTTAAAAGAAGACAAAGATTGACTAACAGGATATTAGGATATTTATTAATGTCATATTTAGAGCATGGTAGCTAGAAGACTGGACACTCTTTGAGACTAACTCCAAAGAACACATTTAAAAATAAATACAAACTAGAATCATCCTTTCTCCCACTAGAACAGTGGTCGGCAAACCGCGGCTCGAGAGCCACATGTGGCTCTTTGGCCCCTTGAGTATTCTAACGCCACTTCTAATGCCCAGGTCGAAAATCGATTTCTGTGGATGGGCCACGAAATTTCAATCGTACTGTATGAGCGCGCCTGCACGTGGTATTTTGTGGAAGAGCCACACTCAAGGGGCCAAAGAGGTGCATGTGGCTTGAGAGCTGCGGTTTGCCGACCACTGCACTAGGACATTTCATAATCATCTTCTGATTTCATTAACTTGCCTATAACAGCCCTCAGAGACATGGGAAGCCTCAGTTTGTCATTTTGTCCTTTGACTTTTACTCTTAACATGAATTGGGTGTTATGGGAGGTCTCTTTTTTTCTTGGCTCCATTCCTTAGAATGCTGCACCATTTAGCTGGATATTCTAGTGCTTGGTGTCTTTTCTAATGTATCACATCAACGGGTTAGACAGACACTTAGAAGAATCCTATGTATCAACTAGGTAGTGGTACTTACATCTTTCCTGCTGCTTGCATTCTTCTTATTAAAAATTAAAGATGCTAAATTTTTTAATCATAGGATTCAGTAGACCATAAAAGGAAAGAAACAGAATTGGTAGCTTAATTTTACAGCAGAATTAAGAATGTATTAAAACTTATACATTAAAAAAGCATAGCAGTTTACAGTGATTTCTGCTGTAGCTGTAGCTTTTGTTCAATGATGTCTGAGAAACGAGGAACTTTTTTGGAAATAGCCACACGAATGTCATCACTCATGTTAAAGCAGCTTCTGGACTTTGTTTTAAAATGTAAAAGTGTTGAAAATCCCAACTCACAAAGGTATGTTGAGGCAAATGGTATAAGGATTTCTAGAGCTGTCTTTGCCAGGTTTGGAAACACTGTGAATTGCACACTCCAGAAATCCTCAAGCTTCATTGTCTCAAACTCCATTAAAATTTGGCCACTAGCTCGTAATTCAGCAAGATCATTTTTCATTAAATAACCATCATCAACAAAATCCAGGTTAAAAAGAAATGGATCCAATATCCATTTACTCGCTTCATCAAGATCTCCCACAGAAAAATATCCATGGAAGGAGCTGTTCAGCAGCTGCAGATGCAGTGTTATTTCAGCTGCAATGCTTCCTGCTTCATCCTCTGAAACGATTATTTCTTCAAGAAAAGGAAAGTTAGTAAAATTTCTTTTCTCAATTCGCTTCAGCCAGAATGGAAACTTCCTAACAAAAGCAGATAACTTCTCTCTAGCTGATACTGTATTCATCCCAGTCCTTTGCATAGATGCGCCAAGTTCATTGAGGTGTTTGAATAAATCTGCAAGGTAGGCTAGGTGAATTTTAAACTCTTTATTTTCAAAGCCATTAACTAAATTACTGCTTTGGTGGTGAAGAAACTGATTTATTTCTTCATACATCTCAAAAATATGAGTAAGTATTTGGCCTCGGGAAAGCCACCTCATTTCCGTGTGGAAAAGGAGGACGTTATACTCAATTCCAATCTCTTCAAAAAAAGCCTGAAACAGGCGATGATTCGGAGCTCGCCCCTTGATGAAATTTATTACCCTTACAACAGTAAACAGAGCATCCCTCAGCTTTGCAGGCAATGTCTTTGTGACAAGTTCGTGAGGGTTCAACAGGCAATGTGTGATCACAATATGAGGTATTTCTTTTTTCACGCAAGCAACAAATTCTGAATTTTCTCCTAACATAGATGACGCACCATCAGTACAAACAGAGCCACATGCATCGAGTGCTATCTTATGCTTCAAAAAGAAGTCTCTGAAGAGATTGAACACATCCTTTCCTTTCATTGTTAATTGCAATGGTTCACAGAACAGGAATTCTTCTACGATCTCTCTTTCTTTTATGTATCGCACAAATGCCATTAGCTGACTGCAGTCATCCATGTCCGTGGTCTCAGCAAGCTGAATACCCACTTGAAGAGGACTGGCTTTGATATCTTCTAGAACTTGCTGTAAGATATCCTTGCTCATTTCATCAATTCTTGAATGGATCACATCATCTGATAAGGGGACCTGCTGAAGCTTCTTTTGTGCATCTGGCCCCAAAACTATATGTGCTATTTCCAATGCACAAGGTTTCACTAATTTTTCAGCTATTGTGTGAGGATTCTTCTCTTTGGCACATAAATACGCAAACTGATAGGATGCTTGTAGTAAGGTATCCTCTGAAGATGTAACTCCAGGTGCTTTCACGGCTTGGTTCTGGTCAGATGGTGTGGGCATATGCTTCAGGCTATTGAGGTCGTGCCCACCGACCCCACCATGCTGTCTGTTGAAGTGGTCAGACAGTTTTGATGGTCTGAGGTCAGCATTTGAAAATACCGAGTTACACAATACACATTGTGGGCGCTGAGTTCCATCAACCTCCGTTGTACAGGTGAACCAGTAACGAACATAGTCATCATCCCATTTGCGTTTCTTCGACATGGTACCCCCAACAAATGTTCAGGTAGTATTCCAGAGATGCTGCCGAATTTTGCTTTGGGAGTAAAATATAACCCACGCATTAAAAATCAGGGGCTAACCAAATTAAGACAATGCCACATCACATGCCATCCTGTCAATCTGTGTTCATGTCAAGAAATATCCTGTAAGATAGATGTCAGTTCAAAGTAAGCCATGACGGCATGACAATTCATCTTACAGCTAAAACTCACAGTTGAAGTCCTGGAATATGTGACTTGCCAGCAAGTTATATATGGGGGGTTTGGGTTCATGCAAGTTGTGTATACCCTTACGTCCTCTACTGGCAAAATGTAGTTAAGGCTTAATTTGTTTTCAAAGATGTATGTTCCAAACATATCTGGTACATTTGTTCTCCCGGAAAGGGCATCTCACTACCACCCTTTCCTTCCACCTTGGGCCAATAATGTATGCACACCCCTGTGATGAAGCACTGAATAGAGAAGGAAATAATTCACTATCTACTTTAAGAAAGGGCAGACAGATGGCTACTTCTTTTTAATAGCTAAGGATTAAACAGGTCTGTAAAACCGCTTGATCCTTGAGTGGCTCTGACTCCAATGTAAGCAGAAAACTTCAAACAGTTCCAAGTAAGCCTTTCTCCACAGAGAAGCAGGACACAAGTTTGGCTCAGAGATTCCTGCTGCTAGAGTGTAACATGATTCATACTGTTTATATAGAAAAGCAAAACAATTTGCTTAGGAGAAACACAACTCTGCTAACTATTCTTGTTACCAATTCTTCAGAAAAATTTCTCTTAATTACAAGCAATTTCATGATGCTTTTTCATATAACTGTCACTCAGCAAAAGCAATTAAGAAAAGCCAGAACCACAAAAGGAAAATAAGCAGCATTTCTAAGATTTGGCTTAATCCAAGGCAGTGGTTTTCCAGGTTAGTAAATGAAGAAATCGTCTAAGTCTCTTGCTAAAATGCAGACTCCTGGGCAGCGCCCCTGAGAATTCCCATTCTCTAGCTCTGGAATAGGGGCCCAGAATCTGTGTTCTAAAGAAGCATTTTTAGATAATTCTTGTGAAGAGTAACTACAACAGTAATCTCTAACAAGAGATGCCCATCATAATCACTGGGATCCCCTTTGAAAGCATACATGCCCATGTCCTACCTTAGAACCAATAAATCATCTCCAGAAGTAGGACAAAGGAATCAGAAAGAAAGTTGTCCAGGTGATTCTGATACATATCCTGCTATCCAGTCAGACTGAGAGGAGTGTTCAGGCCAGTCTCTAGCTGGCAGGCATTCTAGGCTGCTAAGTAAAGAGTCTAAATGCTTTAATAGGCATATAAGTTTTCTGAATTGAGGACAACTCCCTTTTTCTTTTTTCCCTCCTGAACAATGAGCAAAGGTGTCATACAAAGGTAGGCTCAACTATACCTTAGAAACAACTTTATTTCCCAGATAAATAAGCGATCCCCAAAGTTTCCAAAACTCTATCACACAGACTTCTTTTGAGATTCAAAATGAGAGATCTGAAATAACAACGTGGAATGTTTTTTCTTTTCTTTCAGGTTTATGAAGTATAAGGATAGATATGAAAAAATATTACGATTGAGAGAGGGGGAAAAAAACAGTTAAAAGGTGACCATTCACATAACAGAAATATTTGGGGGAATGCTAACCCCTCTATCTCAGCAGTGACAACACCGGAGCACAGCTGTAAACCTAAAAACTCCAAACCAGATTCCATTCGCCTTCTATCTAGTCTATGCGAGTGAGTCGGCGGCAGGTGCGGGTGTCTGGGCAGGCAGGGGGTTTCATCGTTACCTTTGACAGTTCAAAGCAAATCGCCGGGAGAAAAGGAACGAGCCGAGCGAACGCCCCGGAGGCAGAAGCCTGGGATCCCGGCTTTGTCCCCGGCAGGCTGGGCGGGGAGGACAATGGTACCTACCTGGCGGGTCGCTGGGATGTCTAATTGTGAGCATGCGCGGAGGGCACGCGCCGCTCGCAAGTGGTAGGAAGGAAGGAAGGACCTGTTGGTGTGAGTTTTACGGACGATGCTTAGGAGGCTGCCCGGGCGAGGAAGGAGGACCCGCTCCGTCTGCACGCGCCCGGCTCGGAGCGGGAGGCGCAGGCCCGGAGGACGCGCTCGGGCTTCCCGGAGGCGCCCGGCGCAGGCCCCAGGTCACTGTCCGCTAGTCCGGGGCTGAGCCTCCGGGCGCCGGAACCGGTGCAGGAGGAGGCTCCTTAGGTGTGAACCCGGAGCAGGGACCTGAGTGACACAGGCGCGCCCGCCGCCGCCTCCGCCCCCGTCGCGCCGCCAGGCCTCCCATCCGGGTTCTGCGGCGGCTTCCCGCCCGCAGGCTGGGCCAGGCGGCTCCGGGCGCGCAGGCGCATTAGCCGCCTGCTGAGGGCCCGGCTGGCTCGGGTAAGGAGCATGCGCACTGGCCGTCTCCCCCGCTTTTTCAGGCTGTGTACGTGGAGCTGGAAATTTTTTGTTTATTGTATGTACCAGAAAAGTAGAATCTAAAGAATGGCAGGCAGTGTAAAATCTGCCGAAACCGGGTTGGCTCAGTGGATGGAGCATCCATCGGCCTGCGGACTGGGTTCGATTCCGGTCAAGGGCATGTATCTTGGTTGCGGGCACATCCCAGAGGGAGGTGTGCAGGAGGTGGCTGACCCATGTTTCTCTCTCATCCCTGTTTCTCTCTATCCCTCTCCTTTCCTCTCTGTAAAAAATAAATAAAATATATTTTAAAAAATCTACACAGTTCTTCAGAGCACTAGAAGTAAATAGCGTGTCAAGCTTTGAGCTTGTATAGCTCTAATAATTTACCATTTTTTATGTGTAGTCAATGTCGAGTAAGAGGAGGCTCATTGTACTCCCAAACATTCAGGCAAACGGGACAGAGCTTAGGTCCGCTTGCCCCCCCCCCCCCCACTCCTTCCATAAATTTGGGTGAATTTCCTGAGAATCATCACCCATCTTAGAGAAAATATTTTTATTTATACTTCTTTTAAATAGGACTTTGAAATAGTAAAGCTAGATCAGATTAACTAGAAAACATTGTTTAAAGAAACAACCCAGTCTTAGCCAGTTTGGCTCAGTGGATAGAATGGGGTTGCCAGCTCGATCCCCAGTGGATCGAGTGCATGAGGCAGCCGATGATCAATGATTCTCATCATTGTTGTTTCTATCTCTCCTTCTTCCTTGCTCTCAATAATCAATTAAAAAAACAAAACAAAACAAACAAAAAAAAAACCCAAAAACTCAATTATAGCCCTCTTTCTTATCTGGTATTTTCATCCAGAATTCTTCAGGAAATGACATTTCATTTTTTGGATAGTCAATTTTTGTCAGAGGGTGAACTTGGCTAAGACTGAGGGCCTGCTCAAGGTTTCTGTTAATGGAAGAAATTGCCAAAGTGCTTATTTCCTGGCCATGGAACCAGGGGCTTAAATACTAGAGAAGAGTTGGCTTTAGATTCAGAGATACCTGGCTTCATGTCCTGGGGCCGACACTTTCAATTGTTAGGCTCTGAGCAAATGACTTGGATTCATTAAGCCAAAGTGCTTATTGTAAAGTAGGGATACCACCCATTACCCCATGCAGTTTTTTTGTTGTTGTTGTTGCTGTTAATCCTTACCCAGGATATCTGTTGATTTTAGATAGAATGGAAGGGAGGGAAACATTGGCATGAGAAAAACACCTTGGTTGCCTCCTGCATGTATCAGGATGTGCTGGGGATTGAACCTGCAAACTCAGGTACGTGGCCTTAACTAGGAACAAATCCATGACCCTTCAGTGTGTATGTATGTATGTGTGTGGGAGGGGGTGACACTTTAACCAAGGAGCTACACCAGTCAGGGCCCCATTCAGTTCTTTTGAGATGTTATATATGAAAATTACAGCACAAATTTCTAGCACTCAAAAAGCAGCTATCCTATCTGAGTAAAATGCAAATTGACTGTCACTCAAACATACAAGATGGCCACCCCCATGTGGACACAAGATGGCTGGCAGGGGAGGATAGTTGGGGGCAACCAGGCCTGCAGGGGAGGACAGTTTGGGGGGACCAGGCCTGAAGGGGAGGGCAGTTGGGAAGGACCAGGCCTGTAAGGAAGGGCAGTTGGAGGTGATCAGGCCAGCAGGGAAGTTGGGGTCAACCAGGCTTGCAGGGGACAGTTAGGGGCAACCAGGTTGGCAGGGGAGGGCAGTTGGGGGTTATCAGGCCAGCAGGGGAGGGCAGTTAGGGACAATTGAGCCAGCAGGAAAGCAGTTAGGCATTGATCAGGTTGGCAGGGGAGTGGTTAGGGATCGATCAGTCTGGCAGGCAGAAGCAATTAGGGGCAATCAGACAGGCAGGCAGTCAAGTGTTTGGGAACCAGAAGTCCTGGATTGTGAGAGGAATCCCAGATTGGAGAGGGTAAAGGCTGGGTTGAAAGACACACATCCCCTGTGCACAAAATTTGTGCACAGGGCCTCTAATTTTTGATAAAATCAAAACACATTCTCTTGAGTAATATTTTGGGTATTACATTTTTCTCTGAATTGAAATAGAAATAAGACATGATTTCAGGTATTACAGAATTCTTCCTAAAATTAGAGTAAGTTATGCTTTACAGAAGAGGGAACAGAGGCTCAGAAAGGATAGGTGACACATTTTTTTGAGTAAAAGAACCCTGAGAATTTGATTCAAACTCACATAAGCTAACATAGGCTTTCTTGGAGCCCTATCAGCATTATTTGAAATAATGCTACAAACCATTCATAGTTATTCTCAATTATAAATCTTTATTAACAGAAGATAAATAAGATAAAAAATAAACGCCAATCTCAGATTTACGCTGAACTATCCTACATTAAAGTAGGAATATGAAAACATAAACTTTTGACATTCTTAAAGTGGCTAAGAATTAGATCTATTTGCATTTGTTATTTTAATTTCATACCAGCCTGAATCTAGATACCATGCAGATAGCCATAGTACTTGACAACTCAGCTATGCTCCCACCAGAATTATTTCTAAAATGCTAACTTAATGCAATAGCATATTTTGATAGCTCAGAAAATCCAATGAGCTGTTAAAAGTCAATATTCTCATGTCAAAGGTTTTAACTATTTTTTTTTTTTTTCACAGACTCTGTTCCTCCTGTGAGTATTTTCACAATGTTCATAGAAGAGGCTTGAGGATCATGGCATTCGCAGTTGCGAGTAGCCCTACAAGCTATTCTTATAATTCTTTAAAGAAACTGTCAACTTTAGGTTTTGCTTTTGCAAATTTTACAGAGTGACACCTGCTGGCTACAAAGATTAGGTACAAGGAAATTCTATACTCAAAATCAAATTTAGTATTCATGATTGTTACATAAAAGCAATCACAATTAAAACAAAAAAAATAGTATCACAAACAATATCCCCTATGATAAAGGATTTCTGTGTCTAAATGCTTATATCCAAAACTAGAGGAATAAGGTGTATTCCTCAGCCTGGCCTGCGCCCTCTCAGTCCGCGACCCCTCGGGTGATGTCTGATTGGGCCTAAGCTGGTAGTCAGACATCCCTCTTGCACTCTGGGACCCCTCACTCCTTACAGCCTGTCTGCAGTGGAAGCTGGAGATGCTCCACTTGCTAGCCATGAGCCCGGCTTCTGGCTGAGTGGGATTGTACTGACCACCAGGGAGCAGTTCCTGCATTGAGTGTGGGTCAGTGCACATCATAGCGACCAGTCATTCCACTGTTCGGTTGATTTGCTTATTATACTTTTATTATATAGAATGGTAAGAGACCTATCACTGATTGGTCAACTCTGACTCAAGAATGACAAAACAACTATTTTTCCACTCAAAGGCTAACACATTTAGTTCTGGGTATGAGACACCAGAAAAAATTAAAAAAATCAAAATTTTATAAATGAATGAAAAACAGAATTATTACCAAAGAGGATAAAGTTACTCATATGTTCTATAAATTTCCTTTCAGATAGATTTTTTTTTTAATTGCAAACCATGAAAACATTAGAAGGCAAAAAAAAAAAAAAAATTACAGGTACTAATTTTTTTTTAAATAAATGAAGCCCTAGTTTTGAGAAAAAGTAATTAATATGTCGTTCAAAATGCCAAGCAATTGAGCAAGCCAGCCAGGGCCTCTTTCCATATCAGAAATAAAAATCTTAATCTGCTCTTAATGTACCTCCTCTTTATTTTTCTTCTATTCCTTCAGCATGGAAAGGAATGAATTTACTATTAGACTTCTGGAAGCTTTATTAGAGTCAGGCAGCAAGATGAGAAGACCCTGACTTTTCCATCTACAATCATTGGTAAGAAGCTGAAAAGAATGTATCAGCTGTGTGTATCATGAATGTCCATCTGCAACCAGTTCCTACTGTCCAAGGAAAGAGGCCATGGGGTCATCGGGCCTCTGTCGCTTCATTCTATAGGCCTCCATTTCCTCCTCGGTGGGCTCCCGGGTTTCATAGAGGATATTGTAAGGCCGCTTCCTCTCATCAACCTGCATGAGCTCCTTCACATGAAGAAGGCGGGCCTCCTCTGCATTCAGTGCCTGCAGGGAGAGGGAAAACATGAGTGCCACGGCTCTACATCAGTTCTCTTTTGTTCCAAAGTAGCAGAAAACCCAAAGACTCCACTCAATATGAAATGCTACATCAAAAACCTGGATTACCTAGAAGAGCTTGGGAGTCAGCCCTTCCTCTGTCAAGTTGCAACTAATCACTATTTGGCTCATATGACCATTTTCATAGAGCCCCAACCATTCCACAGTTTTTCAATCTTAAAAAATTTTTACTTAAGATGACTGGGGCAGGGGAAGGGAGGAATGGTGATGGAAGAAGACTTGACTTGGGGTGGTAAAAACACAATACAATATACAGGTAATGTATTAAAGTATTGTACACTTGAAACCTATATAATGTTATTAACCGACGTCACCTCAATAAATCCAATAAAATAGAGTGAAGCCTAAGGTGAACTAGATAGATGTTGGGTGATTATGATGCATCAATATAGTTTCATCAATTTTAACAATGTACTACTCTAGTGTGGGATGTTGATCATATGGGATGCTATAAATGTGATATTATAGGAAATAGCTATACCTTTTGTTCAATTTATTTGGATCTAAAATTGCTCTAGTAAAATAAAAGGTTAATTAAAAAAAGAATTTTTACTTTATAGCCAAAATTGAATGATGTTCATTTTACTGAAAGAAGCCCACAAATGATGCTTCTGGTGAAAAATGCAACTCTGACTTTTCCCAAGGAGTTGATGAAACTTACAGGTTATAGAGCTAGAAGGCAATTCTTTCTGGGAAGCATGTTAATAACTCTAAAATTACAAGGCACATTTTTCCCCCCTGTGGTTTAGTGATATTTGTCAAATATTCCAATAAGCAGGCGATATGGAGACACAAAATCTCCCTTCATGTTCTAGACCTGATACAAGGTGACGTGAGCAAATCACCCAGAAGAGGAGCTCATTTCTTCATCTTTAATAGAATACTGCTGTCACTTTTACTATTTAGACTTTATAAAGTACCTTTTTCAGTTTTTCCTGTTTCTTTTCTTCGTCATCACTATCTGAGCTGCTCTTTCGATGCTTCTTCTTCTTCTTCTTTTTCTTCTTTTTCTCCTCTTTTAGTTTTTCCTGATGTATCTGGCAGGGAGAATTAAAAGATAGTGTTTTTAATGCAAAAACAAAGCTCTAGTGCAAGTTTTAAAGTCCTCCCTTAGGGATTTAAAAACTCAGGACAAATGATGATAGAATCCTTACCTCCATGAGGGTTTGAGGTTTTTTCACGGATTCTTCTCCAATTATATCATCTACAATACATTCCTCTGAATTCTGTGGGGAAATACATGTACTTGAACTTGAGTATTATAGTTATGAATCATGTAAGAAAAAGTTGAAATTTGAAGCATAAGGATATATATGTTTCACAAAGATTTGACTTAGGAGATTTGGTTGTTTTACAATTGTAAGAACTAGAGGACAATTACTTACAACAATCTCCTTCCCAGCTTCTCCAGTGCAATAGGAAAACTTGACGAAAGAGTGACAGCATTTGTATCCCCATCTGCCTTCTTTCCAGTAAGATCCCCAGATATGCTGCAAAGAGAGAGATGTTACTTAAAATGGAACCTGAACTAGGGACTCTCACATACTGTTGATAAAAATGTAAAATACAGTCCCTTTAAAGGAACTTTGGAAGAAAATTATATGGATTCCAGGGCTAGCTAACAAGCAAAGGCTGACCCCACCTCAAGTGTGAGAAGCAGGCATTATAGTACAGCATTCCTATATCCTATTCTTAAAACATATTAAAAATTTTGGATATATGACTTCTGAAAATTTAGAATAGGAAATTCTGGACCCATATTCCTGCTTGGAAAGAATTGGCTATTGTTGAACAGTGAATGCTCCTATCAGACAGGGTTTGTGCTCTCTACTTTGTATAATGTGCCTGGCTCACTTCACTTAGGTATGTACCAGCCTGGCTCCTCAGGCAGTTAAACTTTTAACTCCTAATTTAGAGAGCCAACAGTAGCTTGGGCGTTTCAAGAGCACAGCAAATGACCTTATATGCTTTATGAAGTGATGTAATATAAAGAATTCTGAATCACCTATGAAGTGTCTTTGTCAAAATATTTAGCATATCTAATTAAGCCTTTAAGTCTGAATTCCTAATATTTATAGAAAATACAGGAAATAGAGGAAAAGTTATAATATCACTAGAAACCAGTCAAGTACTGAAAATGAGACATAACTGGCCTGATCTGTTAGAGAATCACTGTTATAAAAAAGGAAAGAGACATAACAACCAAAATAAATTTTGATTGGATTCTGACTAAAACAAAACAAAACTCCAAAGAGCTATTTAAAGGCATTTTGGAGTATATTTTTTTAAATGTGAGTAAGGCCAAGAGATTAGATGATATTAAGGAGCTCATGTCAATTTTCTGAATCAGTTATATAGCTACAAAAAAGAATATCCTTAATTTTAAGAGCTACATAATATTGTGTTTATGGGTGAACTGTCATGGTATCTGTAATTTCCAAATGTTTCAGTACAAAAGTACACACACACATATTTTAGTATGTGTACATGCACACACACTTAGATGAAGCATGTATATGACAACATGGAAAAAAATTCTGAATCTAGGGGGTGGGTATATGGGTAAATAGAAGAGTATTCTTTTGCAGTTTTTCTATTTTTTTGGAAAAAAATTTATAAACTTAAAATGTAAAAAAAAAAAAAAAAAGGGCACAGCAATGATTTATGTCATAATATAACTCAAAAGCAATATCAAAAGCAATGAAGTCATAATATAACTCTTAATTTAGAGAGCCAACGGTAGCTTAATATAAAAATACAATCCAGAGCATAAGGCTAACAAGGACACAAAATGGTTCTGGCTTAACACATACTGTGTGATTGTGGATCTTCACATCCTCCTCATATTTGGAGCAGGCGACAGCCCGCTCCTGTCCTTTAATGACTGTCCCATGTCTTGAGTACTCCACATAGTCTTCTGTCTGAGCTAAAAGCAATTCAGCTGGAGGAGCATCCAAATGTTCTTGGCCACCATACTAAAAAAAATTGAACATTGTTAAATACATTTTACAATAAAAATTTTCATTCAGCCGAAACCAGTTTGGCTCAGTGGTAGAGCGTCGGTCTGCGGACTGAAAGGTCCCGGGTTCGATTCCGGTCAAGGGCATGTACATTAGTTGCGGGCACATCCCCAGTAGGGGGTGTGCAAGAGGCAGCTGGTCGATGTTTCTCTCTCATTGACGTTTCTAGCTCTCTATCTCTCTCCCTTTCTCTCTGTAAAAAATCAATAAAATATATGAAAAAAAAAAAAGAAAAAAAGAAAAAAAGATTTGCATGCAACTCTCTACTGATGGGTTTATTTCCAATCAGAAAGATTAAATAAGCATTCTTCATAGGCCCCGTTACACAAAATACAGTGAAAAAAAAAAAAAAAAAAAAACGCTACCAAATTTTCATAGGCAAATACAAAATGTCTCAGTTGCTATTTCTGTTGAATGTGGCTATACATTCCTCTTATCCTGTACACATGCCCATTTGCCACATGACTTTGCTGCTCCTTCCCTGAAGAGACAGCCTGTTTCTCCATTACTTGAATCTGGGCTTGGCCACATTACTTGTGACCTATGGAAAACGGACAAATGTGATGCATGCAAAGGCCTGGAAATCCCTCATGCCCTGGGGCATACCTTTTCTGTTACTAGTCTCTGGTACGCAGAGTGCCATGGAAAGCAGCTGGACTCGCCTTCTAGAGGAGAGCCCAGGTGGGGCAGACGTGAGCCCCCTTAGGACAACCTGCCTGCTAACTGCTGGAGACCAGAGTCAGGCCGGCCTAGACCATCCAGCCTCACATGAGCAGGCCCAGACCAGCAGATCCAGATGATACATAGATTCATGAACAAAAAATAAATGTGTTTTTTTTTAAGTTACTAAGTGTTGGAGTGGTTTGTTTTGCTACCAAAATTCAGGGACACAGCTATACTGATACTATTAGCCAAAGGATCAAGTCATTGGAAAGACAGTACTATTCCTGATGGATTAAAAGGGACTCTCTTTGGATTGTATTTCAAATGTAGATCAAGTACTTATTAACTGGTCATTTATCTTTAAGAAACATTAACATTTTGGTCAAAATTACCTTTTCCAATATGCTTTCTTTCTGCTGTTCTTTGAAGTCTTCTTTTTTGACCTTGAAGGACTTATACAAGAGCTCTAGCTTGGTAGGATCGGCCTGCAGATGCACTTCAGATCCCTTGTCATAGGCTTCCCATGCAAACACTAGGGCAATTAAAAACATCTTAATAAGTCGTCAGCTATATAGTGTTTCTAAAATGCCCCCAAATTTCTCATGGGCTGATATAAAATGCCTTGACAAAGGAGCAAATACTTACACTGTGTCTGAGCCATTGAAATGGTATCCCCTGTATATCTAACAAAGTTGTCTCCCGCATAGCTCACTCTGTAAAAATTGGGGAAAAAATTTGTTTCAGAGATTGATTTAAGGAAAGTTAACTCTTTTCTGATCTAATCATAGATAATGTTCATTTTAATTCAGATTCGTTATTATCTTAATATCTGTCTGTTTGTTTTTTGATGTTTTGAGTGGTTTTTAGAAATTTATTTTTGAAAGTATTACAAATGTCCCCTTCATTTTGTTGTTTTTTCCCCTTTGACCCCCTCTTCCCTGCATCTGCCCCTCCCAAACCTTTATCACACTACTGTCTGTGTCCATGGGCTATGCATATATTCCCTGGTTAATACCACCCCTTAGCCCCCCGTAATCTGTACATTTAACTCAATACTTACTCATCTGGATTCTTTCCTGCATTGGCATAGGGATTTTCTCTCATCGCTCTAGTTTTGGGATCATAGTAAGCAGAATTTGGATCTAAATTCCGCAAATACTAGAATAAAAAAGTTTGAAGGCTGCATTAATGTTTATTCCCAAAACTAACATTTTCTGTAGTTGATCAAAATCAATTATATATGTGAATGCATTCTGGGACACAGAAGAAGAGAAAAAAACGGAATGACACCTAATTTTGGAATGACTGACTATATTACCCATATACTGCCCAGATATGAGACACATAGGTAAAATTTAGACTGGGAAGACAAATATTTGTTGAATGTGTACATTAAGTTGGCCAGGCTTACTTTTGCAATATCTTCTCGAATCCTGAGATTCCGAACAGTAATCCGTCTCTTAGAGTCAAAGTTCTGTCCAGGCATGTCAATATCATCTGCATATTTATCTTCATCCTCATCCTCACTATTATGATCTTTTTCCTGAAAGAGGGAGAGAGAAAAAAAAGAAGAAAAAAAGAATAGCATTTAGTTGTTTTCCTTTTATGTCCCTTTAACCATACCCTTATTCACTTGTGTTCTTTAAGGCTATTAATTCTGTTAATATAATTAGTAATAATGGTATTATTATATTAGCCATCAGAAATAGAAACATTTAACGTATACCCAGATAGGGCAAATATTCATTACCATTTGAGAATTTGGTTCCTCTTCTCCCCACTGGTGTTTTGGAGAATTCTGCATATGACAGAAGGAAAAAAAAAAAAGTATTTTATTCTACTAAACCTATTAACACTTTAAAAACATAATATAACAAATCTAACTGAACAAATTCTCATATTTCTCACTTACAATGAGCACATAAATTCTTAATACAGATATGTCCCTGTGAATAGTTATCTTATTAGAAGCCAGAACATTTCTAGAGAATTTTTATTGATATCTATAACAAATGTGTAATATGCTAATTAGACCAAATGTCCTTCTTTCCAGATAAAGCTGCAGCGGGCGGGGGCCCAGGCAGAGGCCACAGTGGTGGGTGGGGGCAGGCAGGGGCCATGGCCGAGGCCCCCAGCTACAGTGGGCAGAGGCTGCCGCAGAGGGACTAGTGGGGGTTGCGGTGGTGGTGGTGGTGGTGGTGGCGGCGGCGGGGAGGGCCAAGACCCTTGCACAAATTTCATACATCAGGCCTGTAGTAAAATTTTAATCACACAAAGGAAATAGGAAGATTAAAATGAACAATGTACCCAAATAAACATTCATTTCATATGTATTAATCTTAGATATACCATTTTCATTATACCTCCCTAGTCCAAAAAGAAAATGTTACTAGGATCATGTTATAAGTATCGTTAAAGCCCAAAGAGCCTCTAAAGATTCAGGCCATGAAGAAATCTACTAAAGTAACACCATATTGTGATTTAAGGAGGGCATGAAATCTTTGTTATAGAGATATACTTTCTTCATTAGCAATTGTTCAGGATTTTCTCTAACTCCACAGAATACCTATAGCAAAGTAGTATTTCATCATGTTCATTTAAAAGAACTCAAAGGTAAAAAGAATACCATATAGCATTAGTAGGGGAGCACAGAAGTGTATATGGGCCCCAGCTGGATAGCTCAGTTGGTTAGAGCATTGTCCTGATATGCCAAGGTTGTGGGTTAGATCCCCAGTTGGGGCACATACAAGAATCAACCAATAAATGCATAAATAAGTGAAACAACAAATTGATATTTCTCTTCTCTCTTTCAAAAACCAATCAATCAATAAAAAAAAAAGAGTAAAAAAAAAAAAGAAAAAAGAAATCCTCTATAGTAAAAAAAGGGTAATATGCTAATTAGACCTGACGTTTTTCTGGACAACTTTATGGACAAAGCTGGGGCTGCAAGGGAATCCTGGGTCCTGGGCGCCTGCCAGCAGCCACAAGGAAGCTCAGGTCCCAGGTGCCAGAGGGAAGCTGGTGCTGGCAGCTAGGGGGAAGGAAGGCCTATTCTTGCACAAATTTCATGCATTGGGCTTCTAGTATATAATTAAAGGCTGATATGCAAATTGTTCCCTCGACCGGAGTTCAACTGGGAGTTTGACCAGGTGGCCGGGCCAGCTGGCCAACCTCCTGCATTTCCTCTCTCCAATCTCCACAGGCTGGCCGGATCCTACCTGTGCATAAATTCATACAATTACACTTTTAGGAGCTTATCATAAATAAATAATGTCAATTATATAAAGAGTTACATACAAAAATGTGATTTGCAGTATTAAATATAATTTTTGTTTAATCCTCACCAGAGGATATGTCTAGAAAGAGGGAGGGAAGCAGGGAAGCAGAGAGACACATTGATATAAGAGGGATGCATCAATTGGTGTCCTCCAGCAACCGCCCTGACTGGGGGCCTGGGGATCAAACCTACAACCTAGGTACATGCCCTTGAGTAGGAAATGAACCTGAAACTCTTTGGTGTCAGTGCTGACACTATACCACTGAGAAACACCGGCCAGGACTAAATTAAATATTTATTTCAATCTTCTTTGTTACTAAGCTCCGAAATGTTATTGATCGTTTTTAATACTTACTGCCTGTTCCACCAACTTTCCTGAGGCCAATTCTTCTTGGAGTTTCTGGGCTTTCAGTGTTCGTTTTGCCTGACCAAAAAAAGGAAACAAACAAAACCTTTGAAATGTACTTACAACATTCGAATGGACATTTTTTTAAATTTTATTTTATATTTTATTGATTTTGTACAGAGAGGAAGGGAGAGCGATAGAAAGCTAGAAACATCGATGAGAGAGAGTCATCGATCAGCTGCCTCTTGCACACCCCCTACTGGGGATATGCCCGCAACCAAGGTACATGCCCTTGACCGGAATCGAACCCGGGTCCCTTCAGTCCCCAAGCCGACGCTCTATCCATTGAGCCAAACCGGTCTCGGCTCGAATGGACATTTTATTTTTGTAATACATTTAAAGGGAGGAAGTTCATTGTTTTCAGAAAAGCTCAGTGGACAAGGTAATCCCTGAGACTTCACGGAGCTCTAGACTTATGGTCCTCTCAGGAACAGGAGTTACAAACTCCTGTTTGAAGCAGGCATGGATGGAAACTGAGCCAGACAGCACCTGTGGGAAAACTGCAGAGCAAGCCCTACCCAAAAGGGGGCAGTTGCCACCTGACTCCAGACGACTGACTCTTGTCAGGCAGGCCCAGTATTTCCATATATTTCACTGTTCAAGAAAAGAATAAATTTCTGCTTATATGAAATCCTATGATTCTTAAATGTTAACTCTTCCTTAGAAAAATAAAAAGGCAGTGTGACTATGGATTTTAAAGAATGAGGATGACTAGGTGAAAACATAACAGAAGAAAATTAAAGTTTAGTTAAAGAAAAATTCAATTTTCCGAAACAGGTTATCTCAGTTCCCATTCTACCACCCTCTAAATGCTCTGAGACAACTGTAAAATAGGCCATGGGCAAGATACAGTCTGGGAACCAATTTTATAACCTCAAAAAGCCAAAAGCTTGGACACTAATCTGTTCTCACGTTTCCAGTATTTTTTTAAAACCTACGCCAGGGAGTAAAGGACAACACAAAAATCAAATAAAAAGAAATTGCTGGGGATCAAATCTACAACCTAGGGCCAGTACACTGTTTTTGTTCACTATTCAATTAAGCTTACATAAAAATGCATCCATTTTTAAACTGCTTGAAGGCTTGAAAAATAAGAGTAGCTAAATTAGTGGTAGAGTAAAATGTTCATTCTTTAAGAATACCAGGAAAACGGAATTTTGCTCACCAGATCAACTTTGGCATATTCTTCCACAATTTTCATGTGCTCTTCTGGATTGTAGCCATTCCACCTATCCCTCTTCCCATCATAGTCAAACATCAGCTGAGGCTGGACATGTTCGTCTGGAGCTATGTTAGTTCCTGTAAATTTTGCTCCAACTCGCCTAGGTCTCTGGAAAACAGAGGAAGATTACATTGTTCCCTAAGTACCAGAGGAAAATTTCCTATAATCTTTATAGAGCAGGTATGAGCATACCATGGAACTTTATGGTCTATTTCCTAAATTACCATCTAAGTTTTCCAGCAGAAAAACCTAATAATGTTGAACTACGCCACTCAAATTAATTTTTATTTAACTGGTAGCTAAGTTTAGATAATTTTAGAAAAATAGAATCAAGCTCTCTGATAAGGAATCAAGAAAGAAAGACACTTGACAAGAGTTTCCAAAATTCTCAAAGGTGAATTTACCTCAAAGCAGTCTTTCTTTTTGTGTGTCATGGCCCCACAATTTTCACACGCTCCTTTGCGGTACTTAGTAGTTATGGAATTCTATAAATTAATGTAAAGAAAAACAAAGGAAATGTTTCATTTATCTGAATAAGTTAGAAATAACGCTGGCTCTCATTATACAATCTAGTGAAATTATTTATTAGGAGGATAACCAGTTAGAGTTTCTAACACTTTTATAAATGAGAAAATTTAAGGACTTCAGCAATATAAAGTTTATAAAATAAAATACAGACATTAATGTCATATGTATGAATTTTAATACCAGATGGAAGGTTATATAATCTATTTCTATTTTATACAGGATTGGATTAAAGGCTACATTAAGTTCTTAATTCCATTGCTACAGGGATTTATACAGGTTGCCTACATACCTCTTTTACACCCCTCTTATACCATTCTACAGATGAGCTGAACTGCTTCTGTTTTTCTGGTTGTGGTCTCTGATGCTTTAAAGTAGGTCTTTTTGATGGATCAATATACCATGGCACTGAAGAAATATACTGAGGAATATGAGGGTTGATGTCTCTGTAATAAAATAAAAGTTTTTTTTTTAAAAAAAGAATAAAGTGTGAAAATAATTGATATTACAAATTACTAAAGGTACTCTATACAGAATCTAAGAATAGAGATATTTCAGTGGGGGTGGGGAAAGGATACACTTGATATTTCTAATATAATTTAAATAATTAAAAGAAAACAATAAAAATAATTCAAGTGAAAAGTTTCCCACAAAGAAATTAAGAACAGTGATATAACTGAAGGAAGAAGAGAGATGTATTTTAGGGAGATAAATCTTGTATCAGAGAAAGAGGTAAACTTTAGTAATACCTTAGAGTTGATTAAAATAATGGGTTAGATATATTAGACATATGTAGGTACCAGTCAGAAAAACTCAAAAATACAGATTTATAATTAGTCACTTTTGTATAGTGGGACAGGGAGTGGGAAGGGTTGAAAGGGACTATAGCTATTCATTATAAGTCCTTCAATATTATTTGATTACTAAACCCTATATATGAGTTTAATAAAAATAAATAAAACTAACAAGACATAAAAGGTAAAGATAGCTGCCAAAGGATGAGGAATTGATAAAGTTAGACATGAATTTGAATTGTGAATGAAAAGATCATACAAAAAATTACTTACTTTCCTTCTTCATCAACTTCTGCAGGAGCATTACCTAGTTTTCGCTGTTCTTCTAGCTCTTTCTTCTTTCTCCAGTCCTCTCTGGTCATCTTCTTTGGTTCCTCCAAACTCATTTCTTTGGACCCTGCCACGGGGGCAGCATTAGCTGTGTCCACAGCTGCAGCCGCCATTGTTATCTGGCCTCCTCTTTGAAAGGGAAGAAATCTATATTAGTATAAACTAGGCCTCCACGAGTTCATCAGTGAAACTATCAAAAACACATCTTAATAACACATACTGTGAGCTATAAATAATGTTTCATATATCCTTATTCTTTCATAGTATTAGTAAGGGCAGGTTCCCCCCCCAAATAAGTCTCTTCTGTAGTAGTTACTCCCTCAATTCTAATTTACAAATGGAGAGACATAAACACAGATTTAAAATTTCCTAAGACTCTCTCATATATATCCCTGAATCCCTCTCTACGTAAATGTTAAACTTTCCCACTACATAAACTCTTTTAAAAAAATATATATATTTTATTGATTTTTTTACAGAGAGGAAGGGAGAGAGATAGAGAGCCAGAAACGTCGATGAGAGAGAAACATCGACCAGCTGCCTCCTGCACACCCCCCACCGGGGATGTGCCCGCAACCAACGTACATGCCCCTGACCAGAATCGAACCCGGGACCTTTCAGTCCGCAGACCGACGCTCTACTGCTGAGCCAAATCGGTTTTGGCCCACTACATAAACTCTTAAATACAGTATGATCTTTGTTACCTTTAAAGACTGAATGTCTTAAGAGTTATCTAGCATGGCCGGCATGGCTCAGTGGTTGAATGTCAACCTATGAACCAGGAGGTCATGGTTCAGTTTCAACTCAGGGCATGTTCCTGGGTTGCAGGCTTCATCTCCAGTGTGGGGCATGTGGGAGGTAGCCAATCAATGACTCTCTCATCATTGATTTTTTTTTTTCCTCTCTCTTCTTCTCCATTCCTCTCTGAAATCAATAAAAAAATATATTTAAAAAAGTTATCTATATTTATTACCTCTTCATCATCTATTTCCCTCCTCAACCACTCTAATTTAGTTTCCAACCCTTACCACTCTGAAGAGTTACTACTAAGTTACCAATGGACATTCTTTTCAGTTCTGTTCCCTTTCTCTTTGGTATATCTTATCCCTTGGCTTATGGCGTACTATATTCTTCTGGTTTTTCTTGGACCCCTCTTGCTGCTTCTCCTGGCTCCTTTGCAGGGTTATCCATTCCTAGTTATTTAATTTTGGATTTTGCAAGTCCTACAGCCTCTTTCATCACTGTGAAGTCCACTATGGACAAGCTCATCTATTTCCAAGGCTTTAGTAGCTACATTCCACCATTAGTTCCAATTTATTTCTCTACTCTAGACCTTTTATCTGAGCTAGAAGCATATAATCCAATTGCTTACTTCACAGCATCTCCACCTAGAGGTCTCAGAGACGCATAAACTCATCTTAATTCAAATTCATGATCTCTATGAAAGCCAGTCTTCTTCCAGTTTCCTCTCTTAATAAAAACACCACCATTCATTCCTTTACTTGTTCCAGCTAATCCTCATACCTATTTCATCATTAAATTTTTTGTCACCTTCTACCTATTATTCATATTCATCTAATTGTCAACGCTGCCACTATAGTGTTACTACTTTTTCCTACTACATGCCATTTTAAATATTCCAGTAGCCACATTAAGACAATTGAAAGAAACGGGTAAAATTACCTTTGCAATATCTCATTTAACCTCATATATCCCGTATATCATTTCACCATAAGAAAAAAAATAAACTGTCTTTAAAATCTGATATGGATGTTACATTACCCTTAGACTAGCCACATTTCTAGTACTTAAGAGCCACAAATAGCTAATAACTATTATACTGGGCAGTGCAGCTTCAATGACATCAATTTTTATTTTAAAAACCACTAAAGACATAGTCCTGGTTTGACTGGGCACAGAGCCACGTCTAAGGCTTCATTTTTGGCCCGCGTTCCCTGTTTCCTCCTCAACCTGATATTCATCAGCCCCTTGAGAATATATCTTAAGAATTAGAAGTTTCCGGCCCATTTTCTGGTTTTCTCCAAGCTTCACCTTCCTCTCCTTACACCCGTTTCCGCCCCCTCCCGCCCCACTACTCCCTACCATCCCCACGCCCGCCCGTCCCAATCCCTCGCGTCGTCCCCGCTCCCTCGCACCGGCCCCGCTCCCGCTCTCCCTTCCGCTCGCCTCCTCACCCTCCCACTCAAGTTCTCAAAGTAATCCCTCACCAAGTCCTGTCGCAGGGGACCCCAAACCACTGGACGGAAACAAAGCCAATACGCCAATGTTTACTTCCGGTTCTCAGCACTTCCCAGAAGCCACCGCGGGACACATGCGCAGTAACAGCTCTTTGGGTCTCACGATCCCGAGACGTTGGTCTCGCGAGATCTCGAATTTTGCCACTCTTCCCACTCCCCTCGAATCTGTAGTCCACACTGTAGTGATATTTTTCTCAAAACCCTAATTTGTTCATATCACGTCCCACCATCCAAGCTTAAAGCCCTCCAATGCAACATCGCCCAAAAGAAATATCATGCCAGCCCTAAGTGTCATTTTAAACATCCCAGTATCCATATCAAGACAATAGAAACAGGTAAGATTACTTTTCAGTCTTTTAACTCAATATATCCAGCGAACCATTTCGCCGTTAGGAAAAAAAAAAAAGTCTTTAAAATCTGACATAATATTTTACAATTGCCCTAGCTGGTTTGTCTCAATGGATAGAGCAACCGACTGCGGACTGAACCGTCCCAGGTTTGATTCCAGCCAAGGGCAACATACCTGGGTTGCAGACTCCATCTCCAGTAGGGGGCGTGCAGGAGGCAGTCAATCAATGATTCTCTCTTATCCTTGATATTTCTATCTCTTCCTCTCTAAAATAATAAGATATATTAAAAACAAAACAAAACACTGAAGGCAGAGTCTTGGTCTGACTGGACCCATGTCTGAGGCTCAGGATAGCGGCTTCCTTCAAGGTCCCTGTTCCCAGTTCCCTCTTCAACTTGACGTTTGTCTTCCCTATGAGGATATATTTAAGAATTGGAAGCTTTCAACCCATTATCTGGAGTTCTTTAGCCTTATCTTCCATTCCCCAGGCCTCTACTCCTCCCTCCAAATGGATTTAACAGCAGTTTCAACCTCTCTCAAAAATATAATCTAATCTTGCAGTCTGGAATTTTTCATCAAGTATATCAAGGAAAAGAAGACTTGAACTTTTACAGATTTAGGAAAAGATATTTATTTGGACACAAGGATATTTATATAGGCCGGGAGAAGGGTGAACAAAGAAAAATATAGCTGTGCATCAGCTGTTTTAGTTAATTACACAAAGTCAAGGATTAATGGCTTTACATCAGGTGGAGAGGATAGACAGATAAGGTAGGGTCATTAAGCACCTGGAATTTGGAACCATGGGAAGGGTTCTGGAAGCAATTATGTTTATATTTTTATCAGGATGTAGAAAGAACAGTCACTGCCTTCTACAGCCATTTTTCTTTTTAATGGATACTATTGGAAAGTATATGTGGCTTGGTTAGGAATTTTCTGTGTTCCCTTGGTTACTGATCAAGTTCCAGTAGCAGCCTAGACATTCTTCCTTTCTCAAGCACCTGTAAGGTTATTTGTCACAAGGGCCCTCTTGGTCCACGACCCGCACAAAATGAAGAGTCCATCTGCCTGATTAAAAATCCTCCCCTTTCTTTCAACAGCATCCCTTTCCCCCTTAAAAAAAAAAAAAAAAAAAAAGATGTGCTGGTCTCCAACCCTCACCCCCCTTTTTGTTAATATCTCCTTGCTTCATCCTTCATCCTATAAAAAACCTCCCCAATGCTATTGAAGTTGTTAGATGGGATGCCTCCCAATTCACAAATCATTTAATAAAGTCAATTAGATCTCCAAGTTTACTCAGTTGAATTTTTAATTTTTTTTGTCCCATCTGTTCTGATCACCTTTAAAAATTTCCCCCCCTAATAATCTATAGTCCTTTAAAATATAAAAGTGAAAATAGTTATCATTCTTACCTAAATAAGATAACTCTTTACAATGTCATTGTTTTTGAGAATTTGCAGTGTCTAGAGTTTAGGAATGTTTTGATTCTACAGGGCAATAGATGACAGAATGGGAAGTGTCAGAGAATAGCCTGAAAGTGAGTAGGCTACAAAGCACCCACACTTGTTTTTTATCTTCTTAAAACATTGTACTGGAATTTACTTGGAAGAGTTGAGGTCTATTAAGTTCAAATCACCATGCCAAAACCAGTTTGGCTCAATGGATAGAGCGTCGGCTTGGGGACTGAAAGGCCCCAGGTTCGATTCCAGTCAAGGGCATGTACCTTGGTTGCGGGCATATCCCCAGTAGGGGGTGTGCAAGAGGCGGCTGATCGATGACTCTCTCATCGATGTTTCTAACTCTCTGTCTCTCTCTCTTCCTCACTGTACAAAATCAATAAAAATATATTAAAAAAAAAAGTTCAAATCACCAGGCACAAGCCAGGGAGCTCATCTCCCAGAGACCAGTCGCCTCCTGCACATTCTTATCATAGAATGTGCTAGATAAGAGAGAATCTTTTGTGAGGTTTGGGTTTCTCCCTGGAGGACTGATTCTGAGGCGGGTTTAAGGAAACAGTTCTGGGGGGTCGCTGTTTGTTAATCAGGATTAATCTAGGGTTGATTAGGATGTAAATACCCTTATGAGGGGAGGGAGGTGTCGATTGGATATCCCACTAATAGTTAGGAATAACAAAGTGGGACTGTGGCTCATTAGTAAGAAAACAGTGATCTCTATAGGGGTGTCGAACTCAATAAGAGAAGGGGCCAAAATCTAAAATCCAGCCTAAATCGCGGGCCGAATGGTTTACTGAACAGTCATAAACTGTCATTGTGATGGAAACGCAGCGGAGTGCAGTGATGACAGCGCGGTGCGGGCCACATTGCAAGGCCTGGCGGGATGGATTTGGCCCGCGGGCCTTGTGTTTGACACATGTGCTAGGAGGAGATGGTTATGGCATTTTCAGTTACTGAATGGCCTTGGGAGACAGGGCTTCCTGTTGTAAGGGGAAGACTTACCCTAGGAAAATACAGAATAAACCTTGCAACCGAAAACCTTGGGAGAAAGAATGCCCACTTGGATGTTGTAGGTGTTGTACGGATTTGGTTTCATAAATCAACACTTCCATGTGTCGTTGATATAATATGGAGCTGAGATATGTATTATAGAAAGTGATGCAGAGAGAAAATAAGGGAAGGGATGGGGATTTAAAAGAAAACAGACAGGGGAGGGGTTAATAAAAGTATGCATGGTTTAAAAATATGCTTTTATTGATTTCAGAGAGAAAGGGAGAGGGAGAGAGAAACATCATTGATGAGAAAGAATCATTAATTGGCTGCTTCCTGCACGCCCCCTACTGGGGATTGAGCCTATAACCTGGGCATGTGCCCTTGATTGGAATCAAACTCAGGACCCTTTAGTCTGCAGGCCGAGGCTCTATTCACTGAGCCAAACTGGCTAGAGCTAAGATTCTTTCTTCTTCTTTTTTTTAATTATTTATTATTTTATATATTTTTATACATCATTTAAAAAATATATTTTATTGATTTTTTACAGAGAGGGAAGGGAGAGAGATAGAGAGCCAGAAACGTCGATGAGAGAGAAACATTGACCAGCCGCCTCCTGCACACCCCCCACCGGGGATGTGCCCACAACCAACATTAATTTTTTATTAAGATATTATATGTGTACATAGGTTACCAATCGATCCTTTCTTCTTAATGTATTAAACAACATTCAATAATTATTTGTTTAGTGAATGAATCATTTCGAGGTCAATTTTGGCCCTTGAAATGCCAGAGCTGATGAGCTGACGTATATTGAGAACCATATCTATGACAGTCCCTATTAAGTTATAGAATTTTTTTTTATAGCAAAGATGGAGATTTATTGAAGAACAAGTACAGACTCCCTTGTGGAAGGGGAAGAGTCCCCTAAATTATAGAATTTTAAAGGAATTATGTATTTATTAGGATCAATCATTATTTTGTTTTTAAGCCAGAGATTTCTGTTGCAGTATTAGAAACAGCATCCTAGCCTGAAATATTGAGGAAAGGCCTTCAGTGAGGGAATAATCAGTCCATTCTTAATCACAAGCATAACAGAATGACTCAAATATTGCTGTTTGATCTATTGGTACTTACATTTTTTCTTAATTTTTAATTCTGCTCTGCTAGTGTTCTTTAGACCTAATGGGTTGTTTTCCCACCTGACTATGTATTTTTTCACATCTCTAATTGAAATACAACTGTTATGTACCCATTTTCCCTTAGTTATTTTCCTGAAGACTATCATGCCTTTTCTCCAGGATACCTCTTCTTTTTGGATTTGATCTGGTCTATTTACTCTCTGCACAAATAGTTGATTAGTTGAAGACTTTAGGAAAATAGTTCAGCTGCCACTTCGCCTTGACTTTTTGAATCTCACAATCCTTTCATTTAAAAACGTCTTGGCCCCTTCACTGTTCCAGAAAAAACAAAACAAAACAAAACAAAAGAAAACTCTATATCTTAATATCACAATAATCGTCATAATTATTTGTAATTGGTGACCATATTCTCCCCCTTCCGTTAGTAAAAAACACACCTAAAAGTCCATTATTAAGGTGTCACGAGGTCTGATTTCTTTTTGCCTTCCCTTAGGAACAAGCTGTAATCTTAGGGGAAAAGCTTTCGGGGCGGAGCCTAAGGAACGTATGTTCTTCCTATTGGTTCTTCCTGGAAGTCTCCACCCACTCCGGTCCCGCCTCCTGGGCGGATGAACCAATAGGAATGCGAGTTGTGGTTCAAACGCCGGGCCGGGCGCGCCGGCTGGAGGCTGAGCCGTGGGAGATTTTGGCTGTGGATGCTAACGTGGGTGAACGGAGAGGTCGTGAGAGGTCGGCGGGCCCCGGGGGAATGGGGGGATTGGTCTGGCGAAGAAAAAGGCACTTGGGGACCGGGTTCCGGGGAGTCGGGGCAGGGTGGGGCGGGGCGAGGGCCAGGAGCTGGGTTGGGGTTGGGGCTGGGACTTCCCGGGGTCGTTATAGCGTCCAGCCTGGCTGGCGGCCTTGACTGCATGGCGACCCTCGCCGGCTCGGTTCTCCTGAGTCCCAGGGTTCCTGCCGGCCCCGAACCGCCAGCTCTTCTGGAATGGGGAGCCTCTTACGCGGCCTCCAAGAGCTAAGAGCTGGACGACGTGCCCGTTGGCTCAAGCTCGCGCTTCTCCCTCTGCTTAGCTCTTGCCTTTTTTGCGTGGGAAGTTTGGTCGGTGCTACCTCTTAGGTTCCCTCTGCTTCCCCAGGATCTAATG